CCCCCCCCCCGTTTAAACCCCTAAGAGTAATTGGCCCCCTCGGGAAACTTTCTCGGGCTTGGAGAAAGCGAACCCCACTTGCGCGCTTAAAATGGCTAGCAATAAAGGCGGGTCGCTCCAAGGCGGGCTGTGGGCACTCCTGCTCCTTGCTGCGCAGATCCTCGGGCAGGAAGAGGCGCAAGGCGACGGCGACTCCTTCGGCGCGACCTGCTTGTCCCATTTTACCACCGGCTTGCCCGAATTCGTGCTGGACACGGACGCCTCGGTGCAGAACGGCGCCACTTTCCTGGGCTCTCCGCCGGCGGAAAGCGCGCGGGACTGCGTGAGGTCCTGTTGCAAGAAGCCGCCCTGCAACCTGGCCCTGGTGGAGCAGGTCCCCGGCGGCGACCCGGACTCCATCCAGAGCTGCTTCCTCCTCGACTGCCTCTATGACCAGAACTTCGTCTGCAAGTTCGCCCGGAAGGACGGCTTCCTCAACTATGTGAAGCGGGAGGTGTACGACGCCTATGTGGCCATGCGGGAGCAAGGCAGCCCTGGTAAGCGCGAAGCGGGCGTCCCCCCCCCCCCGGGTGGGGTGGAGAAGAGCGTAAAAAGGATTCCCCTCAGCCTCATTCCCAGTCCTGCCGTGTGGGTGTTTGTGGCGGGCGCTCCATGAAGCCGCCTGGTCTCAGGCCCGAAAGAGGCCTACTTGAGTCCATGTTGGATAAGGCTTGGCCTGGCGAAGTGTAATAGCCGAAGAAGTAATCCTATGGGTTTAGAGTGCTGGACTGGGACTTGAGAGATCAAAGTTCAAGTCCTCAGTGAGCCCTCGGACAGTTACCCATTTTCAGCCTGACCCATCTCAAAGGGGTTTAGGGAAGAGGAAGCAGACAAGAGAAAAGTTAAATAGGTGCCTTGGAAGAAGGGCACGACAGTCGTAACTACCTCCTTTGCTGGAGGTAGCCTGCCTCAGAATACCAGTGGCTTGGGAGCCCTGCCTCATACCTTGCTTTTGGGTTTCCCATGAGCATCCGGTTGGCGTCTGCAGAAACAGGATGCGGCCTGGATAGGCCTTTCATTCTTCCTCACACGTCTCAAATTTCCAAGGCTGGCAAAGAGAAGTAAGCCCTCTAGCAAGAACAAGTAAAATGTGCATAAGTGCACCCTTCTCTCCTCAAAAGTTAGGCTGACAAAAAGGGGGTAGGCCCTTCTACGCAATAGCTGTATTGGACCTCCATATCCTAATAATGTACCCCTGGTTAGCTGGGTTTTGGCATGAATAACAGAGGAAGGTCATTTATTTCATGTACTGATCATGATTTCTCAGAAGCTTCTAGCTATGGCTGTTGGAACCCCAAGGACATCATTTGTGACTGTGTGTGAGAGAGACAGAGAGACTAAAAATTGGTATATATGGAGAAGCACTCACATATTTAGACTGTTCATACATCTCAAATAATAACATAAATCTTTCAATATTGTTTCAAGAAGGTTCTATCTTGCTTTAAATATAAAACTAACCAGTTTTCCATTATATAACTTCTGTTCGTGTGCATCAGTGCAAAACAATGACATGAAAATCCATCCCACATCCCCATCATATTTAGGAATATGAATGATACGAAGGAGCACCTCCATTAATAAAATTGTAATATGGCCTTTTGAAAGGCATTTCTGTACAGCCTGGCCTTTAGTTCACAAATCCATAGATGTTACTCCCTATTTATGTGTTGTCTGGATACGTTTCCCTTATGTCTGTCCTTTCATTTGAGGGATGTTGCATCTTTCAACTACAGTAGCCGAATCTATTGTGGATTTATACCAGCATGTACCTAGGAATGCAAGTGGTGACTTGTTAATAGCAATTTGCTGCTGTAATTTATTTATGCTACTAAAAAATTACAGGATTCTGGCATATATGTACCATACACACACATACCTGGCTGGGCTGAAGTCTGTCTTTGTTCGTGTCAGAAGCACCACAGTACAATCAACCAATAAATGACCAATAAATTGGACTGCTGGATTCAGAATCTGGCTACAGAGGCAGAGGTGGGGAGTTCAATTTCCTTCTGTGCCTCCTTGACAGGAGCTGGACTCGATGATGCATAGGATCCCTTCCAGCTCTGCAGTTCTAATGCTGTTGTTAAATAGATAATTTTTGCCTAGTAATGGGCAACATTAAGAATATTTGGGGCTGCTAGTGTCAAAACTTCCATAGTATAATTTACAGGGCATATGCTGACATAGGTGTGCAGTTGCCTTGTATTTTCTGTAATCACGGAGGACTGTGTTGGTGGGCTAAAATCAAGTGGTATATAAGGAAGTAGCATCTATCATATTCCCAACTCATTTGTTTCGTCTTGTTTAGTCGTATCTGACTCTTTGTGACCCCATGGACCAGAGCACGCCAGGCCCTCCTATCTTCCACTGCCTCCCAGAGTTTGGTTAAATTCATGTTGGCTGCTTCGATGAAACTGTCCAACCATCTCATCCTCTGTCATCCCCTTCTCCTCTTGCCTTCACACTTTCCCAACATCAAGGTCTTTTCCAAGGAGTCTTCTCTTCTCATGAGTTTAGCTCATTTGTTTAGCTAACAAGATATCTTGGTGTCTTGGCTTTGTAGCCTGTTCTGCAACTAATGTGCAATTTGCATGTATGACTTACAGTTTTCACATTGGAGAATAAATGTGCAAATATGGATCTGATCACTATTACTCATACGTATACTGTTTGGATATACATTGATCTTGAAATTATTCATGTGAATAAATAGATGTGTGTGTACACCCTTAATGTGAGTGCAACAATGACCACTTAAGCCTCGTGGCGCAGTGGTTAAACTGCTGTCCTGCATCCAAAACTGTGCTCGCGACCTGGGGTTCAATCCCAGGTAGCCGGCCCAAGGTTGACTCAGCCTATCCTTCCGAGGTCTGTAAAATGAGTACCCAGCTTGCTGGGGGGGGGAAGGGGTGTAGCCTGCATAATTAACTTGTAAACCGCCCAGAGAGTGTTTGAAGCACTATGGGGCGGTATATAAGCAGCACACTTTTAAGTCACTGTTGTTGGCCTTGCAAATATTTCTAGTGGACAGGTGAGTAGAGTTTTGACATGTGCTTTCCCAAGCTCACTGTTTCTGAATCGGGGAATCTGTGGCCCTCCAGACATTAGGCTACATCTTTCATCATCCCTGACCATTGTTCACAATGAATGGGTCAGTTTAGATTTGGAACTGAAGAATGTTTGGTGGGCTGCAATTTCCTCATCGTTCCACAGATTCACCCATGCCTAAGAATATGTTCATTTCATCTTCCAAACAAGTGCATCTATTATTGTTGTGATTGCTTTCTGAGTGTAGGGGAGTCAAGATCAGGTAATGGTTGTAGATGATGGTATAGCTCTATCAGTTGTTGCTAGCAAATTCCTTTATGTCCTTAGTGGTTAAGCGTTTTTAAGTACTGTAGTAAGCTGACTACTGTTTCCCTAGCGGGAGCTAATCTGCCTGCAGTAAGCCTCAGTAACCAAATCATGACACTGAGCTGCCTGCCGTAGGTCGAAGTTATGGGAGTGTCATGTTGAATATAAATTACAACTGGCCCCTTAATCATGTGGAAATTCCCTGGAAGGCAGTGATGTAGTAGGATGTGTTGGACTTGGAAGAGGGAAACTTGGGCTCAGATCCTTTTGCAGTCATTAAAATTGCTGAAAGACTTTGTTGTAATGATAAACCTTAACAGCACAGTTGAGATTGCTCTGACCTCCTTGGAAGGAAGGTCAATGCATACATGTACGTGATAGAAATGGCACCAAGCCCATGTTGGACCAGGTCTTGGGGAAAGTCCATAAGAAGGAAAAATGTGCAAGCTAGCCAGACAACACAGTTCTTTGTAGCAGCTGCTACTAGAGGCAGGACAGGCCTAATTCATTACTAAAATGCATTTTATTTGGGGCTTCTGTTGTAGATGACCAGAAGCTTCAACTAGTACCGAGTGCAGCTGCTTACAGGGTTAACAGGTGTAACTAGTTCAGATCAGGTTACACTACTTCTGAGTGAGGTATGCTAAGTACCTATTGCTTGACCATGGTGTAGAGACCATTAACAATCTAAATGCAGTCTGAAGCTTCTCTCTCTCTCTGCTGGATTGCCTATGTTTTAGAGTTTGACAGAAATTAAATGTTTAAAATGTTACATTTGAAACTTGGAGTTTGACACTTTATGAGTGTGTTAGGACAGGTAATCTTATCCAATCCATGCCAGTTCAGCAATCCAGTTAAAGTATCTCTGACAGATGGTCATCTAAACCAGAGTTCCCTAACCCCCGGGCCGTGGACTGGTACCGGTCTGTGGCCTTGGAAGGACATGGTCGCCGGGACAGGTGAGTGGCGAGCAGGAGGTGAGCAGCAAGCTGCTGAAGCTCCGCCTCCTGTCAGCGTGCTCCTATTAGGTTGTAATGCCGCTCCTGATCTGAGAGGAGGGGGAGCTTTGTTCCCCTCCTGCTGCTGCTAGATACTGTAACCTGTGGCATTAGAATCTAATAGAAGCCTGAGTTCCTATTAGGTTCTAAGCTGCTGCTGATCCAACAGGAGGTGGAGCTTCAGTTGCAGTTCACCACCTGCTCAGCATTTCCTTTATGAGCTGTTCTCCAACAACCTACTTTATAACAAGTACCCCTCCGCCCCAGTCCTTGGGAGAATGGTCTTCAACTAAATTGGTCCCTGGTGTCAGAAAGGTTGGGGACCACTGATCTAAACTCTGCTTAGAAACTTCTAAGATGGAATATTTCACCAAATAGCTCTTATTGTTGGAATGTTTTCCTGCTGTTTAAATGGAATCTCCTTTCTGATGAATCAAATGAATTGGTTTGGGTAATTTAAAAGTTCACTCTCTTTTGGTGATAGCCCTTCATATATTTGAAGATGGCTATCTTATCTCTTTCCACTCTTCTATTCTGTAGACTAAACATACCCAGCTCTCTGTCTCAAGAATGTGCTTTATTTCTTTCACTTTGCTTAAAATTAAGAAAAAACAATGTTCTTGAATCATGCTTTTGTCTTCTTTCTACTGTTACATGGGAACTAAAGTCTCATTAAGGCTGTTAGACAGTATCACCGATACAAGTTAAGGACTATACAGTAATGCTGATGCCATTTATGAGCAGAGTATCTGGGCAACTGCCTTGTCCACTATAACTGCCAGGAGACTAAGATAATCATCTGAGGTCTAACATACTGTTGGGCACAGGGCTCCCTTGTTGGTGTCATCTTCATTGTGACATGCTTTTTTCAGATTTTCTTGATGGTTACCTTTCTTGTCAACTCTAAATAATAAATTCTATTGAAGGCTGAAACTGTGGAAAGGTATAGCTGAGATATTTAAAACAGTTTCAGTTTGAGGAGACTAGGAACCGCGGTTGGTTCTCTGCCAGAAAAGCAATGAATTCTAGAACTGTGACGTAGGATGAACTAGGTCAGGAGTTGGAGAATCTTACACGAAAATGAGGAAGGCATATTGATTTGAGATTTCTCTTGAGGATTAAAAGGGTTTATGTCCACCCAG